CATTTACAGAGTGCTGACTGTATGGGAACAATATAATACAGTGGTGAAATGGACCAAGTGCTGCGGCTCACACCTGTAATCCTAGCACTCTAGGAAGCCAAGGCTGGTGGATTACCTGAGCTCACATGTTTGAGACCAGCCTGAGCCAGAGCAAGACCTCATCCCTAAAAATAGCCGGGCATTGTGGTGGGCGCCTTGTAGTTCCAGCTACTTGAGTGGCTGAGGCAAGAGAATCGCTTGAGCCCAAGAGTTTGAAGTTGCTGTGAGCTGTGACACCAAAGCACTCTACCCAGGGCAACAAACAAAGTGAGGTTCTGTCTCAAACAAAACAAAAAAGAACAAAACCTTGAGTTTGGGGAAAGTGCCTGTAGCTCAGTCGGCAAGAGCGCTGTCCACATACACCTAGGATGATGGGTTTGAACCTGGCCTGGGTATACTAAGCAACAATGACAACTGCAACCAAAAAATTGGCAGGTGCCTGTAGTCCCAGCTACTTGGGAGGCTGAAGCAAAAGAATTGCTTGAGCCCAAGAATTTGAGCTTGCTTTGAGCTGTGACTCCATGGCACTCTACCCAGGGTGACAGTGTGAGACTCTGTCTCAAAAAAAAAAAAAGGAAGAAAAGGATAAGACTCTCTTATCCTGCCTGCCTGCCACAACGCCCAACTTTTTTTTTTTTTTGATTGCAGCCATCATTGTTATTTGGTGGCCCAGGCTGGATTTGAACCTGCCAGCTCATGTGTATGTGACTGGTGCCTTAGCTGCTTGAGCCACAGGTGCCGAGCAAGCCTCTCTTCTTTTTTTTAGATAGAGTCTCACTTTGTCGCCCTTAGTAGAGTGCTGTGGCATCACAGCTCAACTCAAACAACCTCAAACTCTTGGGCTCAAGTGATTCTCTTGCCTCAGCCTCCCAAGTAGCTGGGACTACAGGTGCCTGCCACAACACCTGGCTATCTTAGAGAGATGGGGTCTTGCTCTTGCTTAGGCTGGTCTCAAACTTGTGAGCACAGGCAGTCCAATCACCTCAGCTTCCCAATCCGCTCAATCTCAGCTCCCTGGGATTACAGGCATGAGTGACTGCATCTGGCCTCTTTTTTTCTTTTTGAGACAGAGTCTCAAGCTGTCCCCTGGGTAGAGATCATAGCTCACAGCAATCTCCAACTCTTGGGCTCAAGCTATCCTCTTGCCTCAGTTTTTCTATTTTTAGTAGAGATGGGGTCTCGCTTTTTGCTCAGGTTGGTCTCGAACTTGTGAACTCAAGCAATCTGCCCAGTTGGCCTCCCAGAGTGCTAGGATTACAGGCGTGAGCCGCTGTGCCTGGCCAAAAGAATAAAACTCTTAACCAATGTTCTAGTAGTTAGGAAAGGAAAGTATCCTGGAAGAGGTGATACCTGGGCTGAGTCTTGAAGGATGACTAGGAATTGACCTGAGAGGGGCCAGTTCCAAGCAGAATTAGGGTTAGGGTTGCTGCATGTAGAAGGCATTCCAGACAGGTCAGCGTGAAAAAAGCAAGAAGGGGGCGGTGCCTGTGGCTCAGTGGGTAGGCGGGTTTAAAATGGCCCAAGCCAAACTGCAACAAAAAAATAGCCAGGCTTTGTGGCGGACACCTGTAGTCCCTGCTACTCGGGAGACCGAGGCAAGAGAATCGCCTAAGCTCAGGAGTTGGAGATTGCTGTTAGCTGTGCCGCCACAGCACTCTACTGAGGGCGATAAACTGAGACTCTGTCTCAAAAAAAAAAAAAAGGCAAGGAGATTATAATCCTAGCACTCTGGGAGGCCAAGGTGGGTGGATTGCCTGAGCTCACAGTTTCTAAATCAGCATGAGCAAGAGTGAGACCCCCATTTCTAAAAATAGCTGAAAGTTGTGGCAGATGCCTATAGTCCCAGCTACTTGGGAGGCCGAGGCAAGAGAATCACTTGAGCCCAAGAGTTTGAGATTGCTGTGAGCTGTGACGCCAAAGCATTCTATCTAGTGTGACAAATGAGACTGTCTCAAAAAAAAAAAAAAAGAAAGAAAGAAAAGGAAAAGGTAAGAAAGAGGGATAGATTGGGTAAAGAGGGAAGCATGAGAGATGTGACCAAGGAAGGAGGTCCCGGGTCCGGAAGTCTTATATGCCTCCTTAAGGAATGTAAATGTTATTCCCCATAGGACAAGCTAGTCATAAGGAGGCACACTGTAGGAGAGAAGCAGGAGAGAAACATGATCAGATTATGTATTTTTGAAAGGCCACCCTC